CCCTAGTAAAACACTAAAATAGCCGTTCTGAACTTGTTCTTCTCTTCACTCTTTAGTCGAGTCGCCTCCTGCCCTCCCGAATCTCTGTACACGAAGGTCTTTTAACTATTGAGGGCTACTAGGATTTTTCCACTTTAAAATCAATTTGTTTTTTTTATTACATGATATGTTAACTTTTAGTTTGTTGACAAACGAATACCATATTATGCCAAAGTATATTGCTATTCTCGTTTCATACAAGTATAAAATAAAATTTCTTTTTCATCTTTTACAAGGTAACTTTTGTTTCATATTGTTCTAATTATATATAGATATGAATGACTTACAAATGATAAAGACAACCAAAGTATTTCGCGTGGCTTTTATCTTACAAATAGTCATACCTAAACCCAGTGTTGTAAAAATCGGTCTAGGCGGTCGATTGATCCGGGATTAATCGCTAGGCGGTCTTCAACCGAATAGGATTAAGGCTAATCGGTCGGCTTAATCGGTTTTGGTCAAAGGGGGTCAAAGTCGGAGCTAGACGGTTCTAAACGGTCCTAGGCGGTCCAAATCGGTTCTAGGAGGCCAAAACGGCCAAATTTTCAAATTTTCAAATTTTTAAATATTAAACCAAAATTTTCAAAATTTCAAAAGTTCATAGTATTTCAATGTTCAACTAATATATAAAAAAAAAATTCAAAAATAAATAAATTTTAAAGTTTTTCTCCAAAATTTTCAAAATTTCTATGTTTTCAAATATATAAATACTCAAATTTACTTCTTTTGTTAAGATATATTAAAATTTGAATAACTTTTCATATTATATGGATGATAAATTGTTGTGTTTGTTAAACTTATCATTAAACTTTTATGCTTATTTATTTATATTCTTACAATTAAAGTTATAATTATAAATTTTTGAATAATTTTCTTAATAATTAATGATCCCCGATTAATCCCCGCCTAGCCGATTAATCCTTAGACCCCAGTCCACCGACTAGCTAACGTCTAACATTTTCTGCAACCTTGCCTAAACTCATGGGTTTAAACCTAGAACTCGTAAGTGTATAGGTTGAACCCAAGAAACCGAAAAACCGTCAAAACCGACTCCAGAACCCGAAAAACCGAACCGACCAGAATCCGATTATTTATGGGTTGGGTTCGGTTTGGATCCAAAACCGACCCAAACCGACCATACACAAACCCTAGTTTCCACATATCATCCCTTCTCGTTACTAAATAATATATGCTTAAGCTAAATATGACATGAGCCTAGATACGCAAATACAAACCAGGGTAAATACAATTTGCATAGTAAATAATAACACTACCAATTACTCCCTCCGTCCCAAAATTATAATCTATCTTTCCTTTTTTGTTTGTCCCAAAATAATAGTCCACTTCTAAAAATAAATAATATTTTTACCAAAATACCCTCTCATTATTACTTAACCAACTAAGCATTTAATGAAACATTAAATGCAAAGTAAGAACAAAACTGTCATTTTATTGTATAAAGTTAGTGGTAATTAATGTTTCCTTAATCTGTGTGTTTTTTGTCTGTGGGCAATAATTTTGGGACGGAGAGAGTATTATAGATAAAATTGCAAAAATGTTCTCTGTATAAAAAATTGTCATTTGTGTTCAAAAAGTTTTGAATTAGCATAACCGTTTCAAAACTTTAATTTTATTGTGAGTTTGGTTCGATTTGTTTTGAATTTTTTTAAAATGACAAATTTGCCTTAACTTTTTTCTTTTTCAGCTTTTTATATTTATGGAAATACTTTTCTGATTAAAAGAAAATCTCTCTCTCTCTGTGTGTGTGTGTGTGTGTATGTGTGTTTGGGTGAGAGAGAGAGAGAGATTTTTTAGAAAAAGAAGCTACCACAACCATAACCACCTGCCGAAAAAATATGAACAACCGCCACCCCCACCTATCAGAAACCATCGTCACCAGCCAAAAACCACCGCCACAACCACCATTCTCTCTTCACTTACAACGTTGTTACCGTATCAACCACTAGTCAATACCACAACAGCCTTCTAACATACAAAACCTAGAAATCAACATCTACTCTGAAAACCCAGATCTGTTCCCTTACTGTCGTGAAGGATCACCACCATCGACCGCCATTTAGGGTCTTTTGAACGGATCTGTAAAGACGAAAAACAGATCTGTAAAAAAGAAGAGCGTCTTCATCTTCCAACGACGTCATCATCTTCGTCTTCATTACGGTTTCGCCTGAGTAAACAATAGAAACCTGAGTAAACAATAGGTGGCCGATCGAACTCGCCACCTCTACCGCCGACCAACGAACATATATGTTGGTACGACAAACACGGCGCAAACGTTGGCGGCTCTTCGGAGAAGAAAAGACTATGACGGTGTTGTATCCCTATATGTAGCTCATCAGATTTCGAAAACCCTAAAACAACGATGGTCCGAAGAGACGGGTGAGATTGTTTTCGGCAAAAATGACATGGTGCATGACGGTGTTTTACGGCAAGAAGGCAGGTGGCCAGCTATGGTTTCCTGTAGACATAGGAGAGAAAGCATGGCGTGGTGTGTGTTAAAGAGAAAGAGAAGGGGTAGAGTAGTATTTTATTTTTGCTTTTTGTTTAATTCTTGCAATAAAAAAATAAAAAAACAAATTAAAAGGGATAGATATGTCATTTCTTGAGTTTTCAAAAAAAATTAGGCCAAACCGCAACAAAAAAATATATTTTGAACCGGTGGTTCCGGTCCAAAACTTTTTGGACCAAAATGATAATTTTCAAGTAAACACAAGGACCATTCTTGCAATTTAGTCAATTATTATATTTGCAATTATGACTCTTATTTACTCCATATCGACTACTTTCCTGCAAACTTGCAGAAAATCTGATCCATCTACATTGTCATATTTTTGCAATTAATGTTGCTGATGTCCTTCCACTGGATGATCACCAACAGGAAACAACATACTGAATCGGACATATAACGACTTAAAGAGATTGGCAAAAAGAAATAAAGAACAAAGGAGGAAGAGATTGGACAAAGAAACCGAAGATAGGAGTTTTGTTCGAGTTGACAATGGTATTCATTCCAAATCATACCCAACTTCCCATTTTCCTTCATCTTTTTGAAACTTCCCCTTTTCCTACATTTTAGTTTTGATTTATACACTTTGGTTGAGTTTGATTATGGTTTTTTTTTTAAAGAAATATGAATTTTGTTAGGATTTAGTTATGCTTCCTTGAACATGGAAATGAAATAAACGAAGAAAAACAGAGGGGAAGAAAAACAGAGGGGAAACGGTCATTTTGGCATATTTAACAGCTAAGTTACTAAAATCGACAACCTAAGGACCAAAAATGTTATAAAACATTTCAATAAGAATCATAATTACAAATAAATAAATAAATAATTGGACCTCATCCAAAGGGTAAATAAATAAACAAGTGTGTTGCTATGATGGGTAAAAAAATGTAAGTACATTGCCATTAAGGGTAATAACACAATACATTGTCTATATTAGTAAAAAGATTGAAGTACGTTTCTAGAAAACTCTAATTTGGTCTTTTAAACAGCAGAACCTCAACTAGAGGTATAAAGAACACTAGCAACAAACACTCTAACCTTTGATCAGAATAAGATGTTGCACATAGGTCACTTTGACAATGCATAATACTAAAATAAGAATGTGTGGTATAAACATACAATCTTGGAAAAAAGATTCAATTCACTGCATGAAAAAGCCACATTGCTACCAGATTTACAAGTAAATAAAAAAAACATCATCTCTAACTTTGCACAAAACAAACACTTTGGGGGGATTAAATTTTCAGAGAGAATGTACCATTTATCAAAACGAGTTACTGAACCATAAAAAAGATCTCACCTTGCACCAAATACAGAAACCACCTGTAAATCAAGAAGTTACAATGTAAGATGAAGATCGACTACAAAAACATTATCACAGAAACCATTATGCTCCAGCTACTTTACCAGAAGCCAATGCTAAGGTTGCAAACCAATATTCTCCTGCATAGTATGATTATTCTTGGGTAACTGTTCTTGATCTACTAATAATACTGAATCATTCTTTTGCCCTAAATCTTCATTACGATTATACACTGCCCTCATCTTATTCTGCACTTCAGACAAGGCGATTCCATCAGCATTCTCTTTTAATACCACAGACTTGAAAGCTTCGGACACCTGGTTCGCAGCAACTACTTTGTTGTTGTTGTTGTTAATTCGAACATCCATCATAGGCATAGCCACAACTTTGTTACCATTGATGTTTTTCTTCTTTTCGTTTTCCATTAGGTACACAACATGATCAAGAGCCTCCCTAGCTCTCTTCCTCGTGTACGAAGCTTCCTTCGCTCTCCTCTCGGCTTCTGCAACTGCCACCACCTCTGCTTTACTCATTGATAAAGATGATATCTCCGCAGCAGTTACCAGCAGTCTCGCCGCATCATTATCCATCCCACCATTTCCATCGGTTCTTTTGGGATCGAAAACAAGGCGGCTAGGGTTTAAGCAAGTGGCGCAGGGGGAAGGGGAAGGGGAAGGGGCACGTGAAGAGGGAGTAGGTGCGGAAATGGGAGGGGAGACGCAGGTAGGGTGGGCGGAAGAGTAGCATTTGTTGCAAACGACAGCGTGTTCGGGGGGTGAACGGTCGTAAACAATGAAACAGGTGGGGCAGAAATACTGGGAGTGGAGACGGAGGACACAAGTGGTGCAGAGACGGCGAAAGTTACCTCCGCGACGGACGTGGTGCAGAATTTTCCGATCTAGGAAACCGCAGTGGCCGCAGACGGTGTTTGTTGTGGGATTGTTAGCTTTCATCATGATTTCCCGATCAATCATGAACCCTAAGAAATGAGATTTTTAGGGTTTACGTTACAAGATAATCGGAGAAGGAGGGGGACGGGTTTTTTTTTTTTTTTACTTTGACTAACAAACGGTAATGGTGTAGCCCATTTGAAATGATCATTTAATTTAATCTTCTTCAAAGTATTTTAGAAAATAATAATATTTTTGAAATATTTTGTTGATAATGGTTGTAATGAAGAGTGCTACTGTATGTATCCCCTTAGTCACATAAATTGTCACATACTCACATCATGTGTACATAAACAATATTACATTCACATAGGAGTACGCAAAGCAATTTAAGGGTACGTATAAAAATTCCCTTTAATGAATTATCATTAAAAATTTTAGACAAAATTGCAAAAATGATCTCTGTGTTATGTATTTTTTCCGAAGTTTAGTCCAAACTTCGACTTTTTTGGTTTCATTGTCCTTTTGGCTTAGTTTCTATGTTGTTTTTTTTTTAAAGGGAACTTCCC